CCCCCCCCGCCTCCCCGCTGCGCCCTGCCGATGCCCCCTGCTTGCCTCTGAAGGAGCAGGAGCTTCCTAAGCTCATCCTCCAACGCCTTCCCTTTGGAGATGACCCTGATGGCCACCTTGTGCCACAGCAGGGGGGCTGCAGGCTCACACACCTTCCAGCAGCAGCCCAAGCTGGAAGCCCAGCTCCCCCAGCACCGGGACAGTCTCGGGGTCAGGTGGTACCTCCACCATGGCAGTGGGCAGCACAGCTTGGGAGGCATCAAGCAAGGCTGAGGGGGCTGCGGCTGGAACCAGGCATACCCAGACCTCTGTGCCCCTCCCAGCCCCCTGCTCAGGGTTCAGCCCCCGGCACACCTCATGCCAAGGCCCAGTGAGTGCCAGCTGCAGCCACCCACCCGCCGATCACCCACCAAGGTGGGGTGACAGGGAGGGCAGCCGGGATGGCTGTGGGGCACAGTAGGCAGGAGCAGACAAGGTCCCTCCTCTCCTGTGGCTTTGCAGCAGTAGCTGGCCAGTCGTTCCTCAGAAAGCTCCTCCGAGCCCCCCAGAACCACCGATAGCCATGGCCGAGACCCAGCTGTCAAATACCTGAGCTGGCCTCGAGGAGCCCTTGGAGCAGCAGCAGCAGAAGAGCTGAGCTCCCCAACTTGTGCTGCCCAGGCAGCAAGAGAGGACAACAGTCAAGCGCTCTCGCGTGAAGGAGAACCGTGTGTGAGCTCTCTCGCTGCCCACCCTGGGCTGAGGATCTCATGCCCTGGAGCCATCACAGTCCCCTCCCTTATCACGCACCAGCGGCCATGGAGACGGCAGCGAGGAGGTGGTCCCCAGCTCTGGGTGTGGGGGGGGGCGCTGCCAGGAGCCCCAGCTGGGGGCGCTGCAGAGCTCGCTTGTTGGCGTTTGCTGCAGGGGCTGGACACTGAGCAAAGGGCAGGCAGCAGCAGAAAGCTTCCTGGTGAAACCTCTTCCAGAGCTCTTTGGCAAACTTGGAAAACTACAGTTCTGCTCTTTGCAAACACATCCTTCATAACCAAGACTGGGCTGGAAATTGAGACTGGCATGGGGTGGGTCTCGCTGCTCATGTGCTTGCACTGGGTGCGCAGGACCCCAGCTGGAAAAGGCAGCCGCTGAGTGGCCGAGGCCGCAGGATGGATGGCCACCTTGTGCCACAGCAGGGGGGCTGCAGGCTCACACACCTTCCAGCAGCAGCCCAAGCTGGAAGCCCAGCTCCCCCAGCACCGGGACAGTCTCGGGGTCAGGTGGTACCTCCACCATGGCAGTGGGCAGCACAGCTTGGGAGGCATCAAGCAAGGCTGAGGGGGCTGCGGCTGGAACCAGGCATCCCCAGACCTCTGTGCCCCTCCCAGCCCCCTGCTCAGGGTTCAGCCCCCGGCACACCTCATGCCAAGGCCCCGTGAGTGCCAGCTGCAGCCACCCACCCGCCGATCACCCACCAAGGTGGGGTGACAGGGAGGGCAGCCGGGATGGCTGTGGGGCACAGTAGGCAGGAGCAGACAAGGTCCCTCCTCTCCTGTGGCTTTGCAGCAGTAGCTGGCCAGTCGTTCCTCAGAAAGCTCCTCCGAGCCCCCCAGAACCACCGATAGCCATGGCCGAGACCCAGCTGTCAAATACCTGAGCTGGCCTCGAGGAGCCCTTGGAGCAGCAGCAGCAGAAGAGCTGAGCTCCCCAACTTGTGCTGCCCAGGCAGCAAGAGAGGACAACAGTCAAGCGCTCTCGCGTGAAGGAGAACCGTGTGTGAGCTCTCTCGCTGCCCACCCTGGGCTGAGGATCTCATGCCCTGGAGCCATCACAGTCCCCTCCCTTATCACGCACCAGCGGCCATGGAGACGGCAGCGAGGAGGTGGTCCCCAGCTCTGGGTGTGGGGGGGGGCGCTGCCAGGAGCCCCAGCTGGGGGGGCTGCAGAGCTCCCTTGTTGGCGTTTGCTGCAGGGGCTGGACACTGAGCCAAGGGCAGGCAGCAGCAGAAAGCTTCCTGGTGAAACCTCTTCCAGAGCTCTTTGGCAAACTTGGAAAACTACAGTTCTGCTCTTTGCAAACACATCCTTCATAACCAAGACTGGGCTGGAAATTGAGACTGGCATGGGGTGGGTCTCGCTGCTCATGTGCTTGCCCTGGGTGCGCAGGACCCCAGCTGGAAAAGGCCGCCGCCGAGTGGCCGAGGGCGCAGGATGCAACTTCTCTGCTGGAAGGTTTAGGAAAATTAGGCCCAAACACCAGCTGCTTGGCACTGGGTGGAGTTCAGGGGCCAAACAAGCAGTCTGGTGAAGCTGAGCTCCTCCAGGATCAGTCGGCAGAGGAACAGCAAGGAGAGTCAATCCAGAACTCAGTGTGACAACTTATGAGAGGGAATGGCGATAGCCACAAACTCTTCAAGCAAGCGGCTTTTACCTGCTCACGCTGGCGCACTGCCCTGCTCACAAGCACCCAGATGGTTGTGCTGGTGCTCTGGCCAGGGTCACTCCTGCATGACGTGGGAGAGGGACAACAGCAACCAAGGCCTTACTCTACTCCCGGCAAACCTCTTGAGTGCCAGTGGCTGTTTAACATCTTTATCAATAATCTGGATGAGGGGATTGAGTGCTCCCTCAGTAAGTTTGCAGATGGCACCAAGCTGGGTGGGAGTGTCAATCTGCTCGAGGGTAGGAAGGCTCTGCAGAAGGATCTGGACAGGCTGGATCCATGGGCCAAGGACAACTGTATGAGTTTCAACAAGGCGAAATGCCGGGTCCTGCACTTTGATCACAACAACCCCATGCAACGCTACAGGCTTGGGGAAGAGTGGCTGGAAAGCTGCCTGGCGGAAAAGGACCTGGGGGTGCTGGTCGACAGCCGGCTGAACATGAGCCAGCAGTGTGCCCAGGTGACTAAGGTGGCCAGCGGCATCCTGGCTTGTGTCAGGAAAAGTGTGGCCAGCAGGAGCAGGGAGGGAGGGGATCTTACCCCCG